ACAGCCTAAACTATTTTTAGGCAATCCAAATTAAGCTCGACAAGGGTAATATCATAAGGCTAGTCAGAGGTCATAGGAATATATACCCACATAATCCATATAATAAACATTTATTCTCATTTTTTTATTTTGACTAGAACAACCCAATATACCTCTTAACCACGCAAAGTACTGGGCATAATTATAATCAGATCTTACTTTGAATTCAAATGTGAATGCATCTCTTACAATTTAGTCTTGATTATGAGATGCTGGAAGAAGATCATATTAAAGATCAGTTGAAAAAAAATGCATTACATATACTATATAGTATTATTCCTTTGTGGAAACCTTACATATCAAGCCGAAAGTTCAAGTTCAACAACAAATATATACGAAAATGCTGAACAACTAATTTCAAGGTATTTTACTTAATTCGGTATTTTGCAACAACAAATAAATAAATAACTTTCTATATACATATATGAAGTTTAAAGAAAGAATTGTCTAGGCTGAGAGCAGATTTGACAGCACAAAAAACTGAAGGAGCGGGTAAAGTGCGACCATATATTAAGTATTATAGAGTCCATATAACTCGTTTATCTGTTCGTTTAGCTCATCCCCCATCATGCCTGGCGGCTATGATCAATACAGATGGTATATATACCATCTGGGTGCCGGGTCTGAAGCCTTTTCCTGTGGCCTGTGACACGAGGATAGCGGGCGCTGGCTGGACAGTGATCCAGAGACGTCAGGATGGCAGTGAGAACTTTTATCGCAGCTGGTCTGAGTACCAGGCGGGTTTTGGTCAACTAAATGGGGAATTCTTTATTGGTCTCGAGAAGCTGCATCACATAACGAATGCCGAACCCTACGAGCTATATATACATCTGGAGGACTTTGACGGCGAGACTCATTATGCGAAATACGATAGATTCCTGGTGGCAAATGAATCTGAGTCATATGCGCTGAGTCAATTGGGTAAATTTACTGGGGATGCTGGAGATTCGCTGAGCTATCACGTGGGAAAAGCGTTCTCGACATTTGATAACGATAAGACCGGCAAGAACTGTGCCCTGACTAATGTCGGCGCCTGGTGGTACAATCAATGTCAACATAGGTTAGTTAATACACCGTTTATTTTATTTAATATTATATTTTTTTCACCTTTCACTTATAACTAATATCTCTCTCTCTCTCTCTCTCTCTCTTTTACAGCAATTTGAATGGTCAGTATATGGTCAGCGGTAGCTATGAGAAGAAGCTAACGGGTCGCGGTATTTGCTGGAAGACCTGGCGGGGCTACGATTACGGCTATAAGCGCACACAAATGATGATAAGGCCAAGGTGTAGGAGCAGCTTCAGCCAGAGCTAATTATTATTTATTCAATTTCATTAAACACATTCAATATGCAAAATAACAACAAAATAAACGATCGATTTGCCGCTGAATCATCGCGTCGGAAATCTTGATCAGTTTTAAAGCTCTTTCAGCACTTTTTGTTTTTGTTTTTAATTTTTTTATTCTTTTTTTCGGGAGGTTTGTTATCAACAAATATAAACTTTTTATTTACGTTTTGATTATATTTTGCGCTGTTGATTGTTGTTGTCACTGTTGTTATTGCTATTGTTGTTGGCTCGACGTTTGCTTTTGTTTTATGTTTTGAATTTTTTACAACAATAACAAAAATGTAAAGGGAATCGCGAAACGTGCGTCGCGCTCCGTTCGCGAGTCGAAAATCAACTGAAGAACGGCAACGGTCGCGCATGCGACGCCAAAGCAAACAGAGCGAGTGAGTGAGGGAGTGCGAGAGGGAGAGGGAGAGGCAGCATGAGCCAGTCACACAGCAGGAGAGCGAAGTGGGAGAGCGTCAGCAAGTCTACGCAGAGGAAGAGCGTAAGCAAAAAGACTACGTAGAGGGAGAGCGCAAGCAAGCAAAGCGAACGTCAGCTCTGAGGGGGAGCAGTAGCAACAACAACAGAGCAAAGTGAAGAGCGGAGAAGAGAGCCAAAGCAATTCATAAAATTAGCTGTTAAGGTCGACGCGGACGCAGCTAAAAACGGCAAACGGCAAACGACAAAATCAGCGTCAGCCGAACATCGCTGTGACGTCCAGCATCGAAAAATGCAGTGAGCGAGCGCACGCCACATGAATGGACAAACAGACGGACGTGCATACATAGATAAAGACAAAGATGAAGCTAAAACAAAATTGCAAAGAGTAGCCGCACAGCAATCGAGGCGCAACCGCATTTCAGCACCTGTCTCTCATCTCTGTTGACAAAACGATGTTGATCGGTCAAAGCGAAAAAAAAACTTAACTGTAACTCTGGGCTGTGCGTATATACATACATATGTGTGTCTGTGTTTGTGTGCCAATCTGTGTGTGTGTGTGAAACGTGCGAAATATTTGCAGTCTTGCTTCAGAGCTTAGCTTGAGTCATTAAGCCTGAGCACAGTGGTACAAAACTTCTTAGCATTGAGACACGATCAGGCATGATTCATGCTTCGGCTTAATTCCGTCTATAAGTGGCAGACGGGATGTCGTTTAATTGAACAGCTGCCACGAATGCACAGACAACACAACTCATTGAAAATTGAACGTCTTTAGTCATGCAATGAATATACATACATATGTACATACATATAAAATATATGGTAAGAAAAATATGCATATCTGTGTACATATTAACATTATCTCCTATCACCTCTATATGTAGATAAGCACTCTAAAGTTCTAGGAAAGACATTTGTTCCTTGTTAAGTAAGCTTTACCTTTACCCTAGTTAGTTACATCAATTAAAGAGAGCCGATCAAGGCGTTGCCACACTGTTCATTTTTGATGTTGTGGGCGGGCGTTTTGCGGCTTGACAACTTACGCAATGTTTGCTTTGTATTGTCTTACAGACGAACCACAAGACCTGGGGGCCGGGGTCTCAGCTCTGGGGCCTAGGGCTGGGACTGGGCGTGCATTTCAAATAGGCGTGTTAACATAATACAAGCAACACACATCATACCATTTGACTTGCATAACGGACAATGGATATTAGTTTTTGACAGGGCGAATCAATTTGTGCACACGTTTCGGGAAACATTTCCGCCGGAGTGGTGGAGAATCCATTAAATGTGGCCAAAACAAACAAATGCGTGATCTAATGATTTGTCGAAATTGAATTTGATTTTATGTCTATGTGGACATACTAAATACACACCCAGCGTAAAAAAAAAAAAAACAACAGCCACAAATTTGGGGCAATTAAGCTGATGACAGTTTAGGGCAATCGAGAAGTTCCAAATGGGGAAGGGCGAAGTTAACAGTTTGTTTCTTCTTCTCTTTTTATCACACACTGAAAACACACCTTGAATTAAGCGAATGGCAAGAAATTGAAAGCCAGGATAACACAGCAATAAACTTTAACTAAAGTTAGAGACTGACCTAGTTTTTGGAGTGGTTTAGGATTTGGTATATTACGGTATATTATGACACTAGACAATTGTCTTTTAAGAATTCGAATACTCCATATCTCACTTTGTAATATAGGTAATGGATAATACAATAATATTATAATCTTAATATCATAAAAACTTTTGTCTTTAGTTGGTATAGCCACTAGATCATCATAAGTTCTTCACAAATATCAATTTTCATTCATTTTTTTCAGCTACAGAGTATTATGCAGTCAGTCAATTAGTTCACACGGCAACATACCACCTCCCTTACCTTACAGCATGACTCACTGCACAAACCTATATATTTATTGAGCCAAGCATACAAAAACATAAACTGACAAATATCAATCGGCAGTTTAGAATGCAGTCAGTCAATGAACTGGTATTGAAGGCCTTATCTAACTGATTTAATCCGAAATTAAACTTTTATGGGCGGGCCCTACCGATTTGTTTCGTTAAATAAATTTCTATATACAAAATAAATATACATATATTCACATTTTGTATATTACCCGTGGTACTTCTTTGCCGTGAAAGTTTACGATAAGTTTGCCGAGTTCTAGATAAGATATACTGACTATACAAATGCCGCGAAGCTTAATGCCTTAAAATTTTCAGCAAATTATTCAACGTGATTCATGCGCTCACATGAAAAACCGAAAACATAAAACAAGTTTTACAGGCATTTTCAACACTTACATGACAAACTAGATGAATAATGATGAATAACAGTTTCTATAAATCTATATCCTAACCAGAAACCTCATCGGGTGATTTCTCAAATAAAATTCGAGCAATTATAGTATGCCTATTAAGCATTCCATTAGAGGAATTCCTCGAATCTGAATCAGTTCTGCTAACAATAGACAGATTTGTGCAATCTAGTAATCCAGATCGAGCCAGTCATAGCACTTAGATGACAGATAA